ACAGTATATTGTGACTCTCGTAGTGCCTTGCAAGCAATCAAGAGCTTAAACTCATCACATCCAGTGGTGAGGGAGGTTCAAGATTGGCTTGCATTGATGTCAGCACGTAAAAAGATAACTGTGTTGGGTGCCAGCACATGTTGGTATCAGTGGGAATGAGCGAGCTGATCAGAGGGCCAAGGCAGCTGCTGCTCAGCCTTGTGATGCTCGTTTTCCTCTCCCACACACTGATTTGAAACCCAGCATCAGAAGTTGTCTTCGTGATAAATGGAGGGAACAATAGAGGCATACCTCTAGAAATAAACTACGAGAGATTAGAGATGAACTTGGCCGTTGGATGACCAGCATTCATCGCAACCGACAATTGGAAGTTGTATTAACAAGGCTGAGAATTGGGCGCACAAGAATGACTCATGGGCCGATGATGGCTAAAAGTGAAGCACGCTGTGAGGAATGTCAAGAGCCATTAACGATCGCACACATAGTGGAAAGATGTGCAACATTCTCAGACCAAAGATGAAGATACTTGTCTCCCCCATATGCACTGAAAAATGTATTGGGGGAGGATTGTGACATAGGTCTTATTAGTTTCCTTAGGGAAACTATGCATAATTAAGTTTTATTGAAAATATTAATGTTTATGCAATAGTTTTTAGACATTTAGAGCATAATGTTTATGCTTTGATTTTTTAATATAATTATTGATATTTATAACATATATTGATAGATTTTTAACGTTTTAAATATTCTAATATTTCAATCTAACAAGGTGTTCGCCGCTAATGACCTTAGCTGTTGACGCGGCAGATAATTTTAAATAATCAATCCTGCTGCCATGGTGTAAGCATATCGCATAACCTCCTTGCGGCTGTTGTAGGCGGTCCCTGTCTCAGGAATTGTGTATGCTCACAATTCTCCAAGTAGTGGCGTTCGGCTCACCGCAATGTATGCAACACCTCTTCACGGTCTATTGTCTCTATGATCTGCCATGCACAGTGGAAACCTAGGCGCATTCTGTGAAGAATGACCTCGGTACCTTGACAAGTTCACCAGAAGGTGTGCAGAGAATTATCTTTGAGAGCCGAGGCCGAATTTGCCGGGGGTCCAGTAAATCTCTTTAAATCGCCCGGGCAAAAAAAAAAAAAAAAAAAATCCTTTTAAATAACTTCACAAAATAAACAAACATCTTAACGAGAGCCCTATCCCGCTTTTAACTCCCTTCCTACCCACTTCCTCCTTCCATGTGTCACACAACCTCGCCCACGCCTCATCTCATTATCCTTCCATAGCGCAAGCATCCCTTATCCTAATCCTTCCCTTATCTAACTGGTTTCGGATTTCCGATATGTGACATCTGCCGCCTGCACCCTGCCATGACCAGAGCACATCTCCCTGGAAGTCCGCCGCCGACAGAGAAAAATCTCTGCTTGACGCGGGCGAAGGAGATAGCCTCTGATTAGCGATCTCACTCGTATTTCAACCTCGCAGTATCCCGGTTAGCCGAGGGCACCACCGTTGTCATGGGGTGGCCATGGGCGATAAGTCCGTGCACGGTGGCGACATCGGCCTGGCAGGCCACCTGGCAGGCCGCCTTTTCCGTTCCTAACCTCCCCCGTTGGCCGAGTGCGCGCCGCAGCCCGGGCATGGCGGACTCGCCGACACGCGAGCTCGCTCACGTTAAGCGAGTGCCGCCATGCCAAGGTTGCGCACACCGCAGATGGCGCGGAGCCTTCCTTTCCAGCCTTTATCCTCCTTTCTGCCTCCGTGTCAGCTATGCCACCAACTTTTACCCCGCATTTTGGGTTAAGCCCCTCTCCCGCCTGCTTTCCCCCCGGCAACGGGTCTTTCCTTTTAACTTTCGTTCGTAAGTGAGATCATCAATCCCCGATCCTCCAGCAGAGCAAGACCACAGCAGCAACACTCACACCCCAAAGAGATGACACCATAAATCATGGATGCAACAATACCATCTACTATAAGAGTAAATTTTCCCTCCTCTATCACGCAGATCGCACGCCTTGATTAAATTGTTTTCTAAAGAGAGCAGCGCCGCGTTTTCGTTATCACATGTACTGGGTCATAGGGACAAATGTTAAACGTGAAATAGTTTGCGGAAGGGATAAATAAAGACAGACAGTTTATCAGTTGAAAGCATGTAATGCGTAACATAGTGAACATTATGCCTTACACAAAGAATGTAAGGTTTCAGGATATCGTTTTTTTACGCGGTGGGACTATATATCAGAAAAGTTTGCCAGGAAATATTGGTTTTGTTTAATTTTTTTTTTTTTTTTTTTTGTCTGATTCGCGAGGCAGAGCCTCGCCCGGGCTATGCCCATGAGGGGAGCCCGGTTTTTTGTTTAATATAAACATTAACTTATATGCCTCTCATTGGAAAGAGAGACTGAAGAAAATATATGTATACATTACTTAAAACTTCCTGCAAATTTCTCGATAAAGGGAATTACTGGGGGTACCATCTCCGAAAGATGACAAGTATCTCCATATCATACCACATATATAGGAAAGTACAATTACGGAAAAATCGATGAATTTGTGTCATTTTACAATATTAGTATGTTCTTCAAAGAGGCAAGATATATTTGCCTCCCCCCTCCCCCCAAAGTTACCTCTTTGAGGCAACATTGTAGGTTTCACTAAGTGCTAGCTAGCGAACTGTAGGTGGGGACACGTGATGCCCTTGGTTGGTGGATAATTACTTTTCAGTCTATTAATTCTTTAGTGCCCCAGATACAATCCATACCAGCGCTGAGGAGGGGAAAAGCAAAGAGGTTTCACTCAGAAGGAGGCGGTGTGGTATCACACGCCCAGTACAAATACGACATTATTGTGTCTGTATGGGAGACCTGCCGCACCTTTCTTTCTAACCAGTCAGAGCAAACATACCAACAAGAGCTTCATGAAGCAATTCAAGACAAAAAACTTGAGATTCGAAATGAAACAGTTCGTACTATCGCTAATGTCGTAAACCTAACAGTCAATACAATCGGCAACCCGTCAGTTTTGAAGTGGTATTTCGATTATACACCAGGGTGCGCGGGTAATTATCGCGCACAGATGACAGGTGGTCAGGTATTATGTATAAACACGCGAGACTGGCTACCCATTTTTATTTACACAGAAAGATTATATGCATTTACTTTCTTTTACAGCTGAAGGAACGGCCTGTAAGTGTGTTATCACTTGTTGGAATGTATGGTCGTCTTGGTCCAGTTAAAGCATAATAATTTTGCTGAATGAGAGTAGTTAATCACAGGAGACTGATTTAGAGTTGCGTATATCTGAGGCGAGAGGGAGTCGGGGGGGGGGGGGGATGTTATCCACTTATAATTAGGAATGGGGAGGTTAGTGAGGAGATGAGGCTTATAACAAATATACATCCTTTTGACCAGTTGTCCTAGCTAGAAGATTTAGATTACTAAAAATCCTCAAAACATAATAAAATAATTATGTATAATCCAATTTATGTTTGATATAATCTTACAAGTGATGGCGCACAATGATTATTTTTGGTATATTCATTCGCCTTGGGCACGAACAATTTCGTTATTCAGATGCGTTATGAACGATTGCCACATTCATATGTCACTTATCATAGCGCAAAAGAGAGGACAACTCAACAATTTAGTATCTATGTTGGAGAGAGAAACAAAGTCAGCAAGCAAAGGCATGCATATAGTGAATCAGTGATAGTAAAGTCTGAATAAATTATTCCTGCGCCTTAAAAATACTAATCGCAAGCGGGTAACCTGACGACCCCTTTAGACCACCTGTAAGACGCTTCGGTGGCCAGTTCAAAGGTCAGCGCGGAGAGAGTGAGGTTCCGGCGCTGACAGGCAATAAACGTCCTGTTCAGCCGTGTTGGGGCTTAGGAGGCCTCTGCCTTGGACCCTCAGCAGTTGCCTCAACTAATTTTATAGGGTCTTTTTTTCTCCCTCTTTCCTTTTCTTTCTCTTCTTCATGCCCTTCTGTCCATTTATTCGTTAACTCATATTTACCCTTTCGCCACAACACTTTAGCATAATGCTGCTTAATCTTTGATGTCTGGCACATTTGTTTGTTTTGACTATTGGCCATTCTGGAAATCCATAAACATTTCCTTTTCTGAGCCCAGAAAATTACCTGGGGCTTTGCACACACACGCGTATATATGTGTATATTTGTATAAATATATGCATATATATGTGTGTGTGTGTGTGTGTGTGTGTGTGTGTGTGTGTGTGTGTGTGTGTGTGTGTGTACGTACATACATATATACACATGCATATACATATAAATATACAGATATATACATATATACACATACATAAATGTATAAATATATGTGTACATATGTATATACATATATGTAGAAATATATATGTATATAAATGTATATATATGTATGTATATGAATGTATATGTATTTCTATATATGTATATGTATGTATATAGGTATCTATATATGTACATATAATTATATATGTTTATATATGTATACATATATATGTACATATACATGCATACACACATATATACGCGCGCCTGTGTGTATGTATATCCATATATATTTATGTATATATGTAAATATACATACACATGTATATACATATACATATATACACATTATGTATATTGTATGTATACACATAGACACACACACACACACATATACAAATATATACATATATGCATACATATATATATATACATACATATATATATATATATATATATATATATATATATATATATATAAATACACACACATATATATGTCTGTGCGTTTATATATATATATATATATATATATATATATATATATATATATATAGAGAGAGAGAGAGAGAGAGAGAGAGAGAGAGAGAGAGAGAGATTAGGATATTCAGGGAAAGGTTGAAATTAAGAAGCGAAACATGCGGATATTAATTTATTCACAAAATGTCTTAGCTTGCCTAATATTGGACTGTGTGCATTATTTAATTTTCATAATTTCTTAATTTTCCTAACCAATTAGTGAAGAGAACTCGGCAAAGTTCTCTTGTCTATTTTCTACTTCTTTTATTATATGAATGTAAGGATAATTGGTTTCATGTGATGAGGTACAACAGTAATTTGCCCCTATTACTTTGGGAGATGAACTAACGATGAAACCTACACCTTTACAGTCCATCAGGTGACTAAGATGAACTGTCACTCGAGGCTGTTGACCCATCAGTAGATCCATCAGTAGATCCGTCCGTTGATCCATCAGTTGACCCATCAGTAGATCCATCAGTAGATCCGTCAGTTGACCCATCAGTAGATCCGTCCGTTGACCCATCAGTAGATCCGTCAGTTGACCCATCAGTAGATCCGTCCGTTGATCCATCAGTTGACCCATCAGTAGATCCGTCCGTTGACCCATCAGTAGATCCGTCCGTTGACCCATCAGTAGATCCGTCCGTTGACCCATCAGTAGATCCGTCCGTTGATCCGTCAGTAGATCCGTCCGTTGACCCATCAGTAGATCCGTCAGTAGATCCGTCCGTTGACCCATCAGTAGATCCATCAGTAGATCCGTCCGTTGACCCATCAGTAGATCCGTCCGTTGATCCGTCAGTAGATCCGTCCGTTGACCCATCAGTAGATCCGTCCGTTGACCCATCAGTAGATCCGTCAGTAGATCCATCCGTTGACCCATCAGTAGATCCGTCCGTTGATCCGTCCGTTGACCCATCAGTAGATCCATCAGTAGATCCGTCCGTTGACCCATCAGTAGATCCATCAGTAGATCCGTCCGTTGACCCATCAGTAGATCCGTCCGTTGACCCATCAGTAGATCCGTCCGTTGACCCATCAGTAGATCCGTCCGTTGACCCATCAGTAGATCCGTCCGTTGACCCATCAGTAGATCCGTCAGTAGATCCGTCCGTTGACCCATCAGTAGATCCGTCCGTTGACCCATCAGTAGATCCATCAGTAGATCCGTCCGTTGACCCATCAGTAGATCCATCAGTAGATCCGTCCGTTGACCCATCAGTAGATCCATCAGTAGATCCGTCAGTTGACCCATCAGTAGATCCGTCAGTTGATCCATCAGTAGATCCGTCCGTTGATCCATCAGTTGACCCATCAGTAGATCCATCAGTAGATCCGTCAGTTGACCCATCAGTAGATCCGTCCGTTGACCCATCAGTAGATCCGTCAGTTGACCCATCAGTAGATCCGTCCGTTGATCCATCAGTTGACCCATCAGTAGATCCGCCAGTTGAACCTTCAGTAGATCCGCCAGTTGAACCTTCAGTAGATCCGCCAGTTGAACCTTCAGTAGATCCGCCAGTTGAACCTTCAGTAGATCCGCCAGTTGAACCTTCAGTTGATCCGCCAGTTGAACCTTCAGTAGATCCGCCAGTTGAACCTTCAGTAGATCCGCCAGTTGAACCTTCAGTTGATCCGCCAGTTGAACCTTCAGTAGATCCGCCAGTTGAACCTTCAGTAGATCCGCCAGTTGAACCTTCAGTGGATCCGCCAGTTGACCCACCAGTAGATCCGCCAGTTGAACCTTCAGTAGATCCGCCAGTTGAACCTTCAGTGGATCCGCCAGTTGACCCACCAGTGGATCCGCCAGTTGAACCTTCAGTAGATCCGCCAGTTGAACCTTCAGTGGATCCGCCAGTTGACCCACCAGTGGATCCGCCAGTTGAACCTTCAGTAGATCCGCCAGTTGAACCTTCAGTGGATCCGCCAGTTGACCCACCAGTAGATCCGCCAGTTGAACCTTCAGTGGATCCGCCAGTTGACCCACCAGTAGATCCGCCAGTTGAACCTTCAGTAGATCCACCAGTTGACCCACCAGTAGATCCGCCAGTTGAACCTTCAGTGGATCCGCCAGTTGACCCACCAGTAGATCCGCCAGTTGAACCTTCAGTAGATCCGCCAGTTGAACCTTCAGTAGATCCGCCAGTTGACCCACCAGTAGATCCGCCAGTTGAACCTTCAGTGGATCCTGAAATGGTTAGTTATGAATATATATATATATATATGGCGGACTGTCGGTCCTGTTGGGAGGGCTAATGTTGAGGCACAGGATGGGAATGAGAGCTACTTGTCCTGCCTGCGCTCAGGCAGGCGCCAACCAAGCATGAGGTACGGGAGGTAAAGCCTAAGGGAACCCCACAGGCAGACGTTGGGCCCCACATCCTACAGACCCCCTTTATTTGGGGCAGCGTCAGCAGGGGTGGCAGAGGTGGCGTCCACCTGAAGCGTAACCTCAGGCGACCTATCTGGGCAATATCCGGTCCTTGCGGCAGGACGAGTGGTTACCGCTGCTATCGAGGAGTTTGGGAATTGAGATAGCTGCCCTCTCGGAGGTGAGAAGACCTGACAGGAGCAAGATCAGTATGGATGGGTACACCTATTACTGGTCGGGCTATGGCAATGGTCACTATCTCTAGGGAGTAGCTATAGCCAACTCCAACCCTCGGTAGTTGAGGTAACACCCGTTGATGAGTTATTATGATATTGAGACTGAAGCATGCCTTTGGCTTCCTGTCTTTTATTGCTGGGTTCGCTTCTACTGATGTTTGCAAACTCTATGCCAAACTTGCAGCAGTGGCAGTTAATTGCCCCTGGTGAGACATTTGCATTGTTCTAGGCGACGTCATTGCGGTATCCAGCTGTGATTGAGCTGGCTATGTGATGTCTGTCGCCCCCCATGGCTCGGGAGCTGATCCCGGCAGCGAGAACAGCCATCTTCTATGGGAATTTGCTAGGTCCCAGAGAATGAGGATTTCTGGCTCCTGGTATCAGCACTCCAACCTCCATCGCTGGACATGGTATAGCAATACAGGTACCTGTGGCCAAGGAGATCGACCACATCCTAGTCAGCACTCTTCAATTAATCATTTTGTTGCATTATGTACTTCAGTGTCATAGTGATGTTCCACCCGAGAAAATGTATTCCAGTTGCCAGTTAAACAGGTATTGCCAGTTGCGAAGTCACCATCGAACCGGTCAATTACTGATGCAGAAGTCCCATCACAATGATCAGTTGTTGCTGATAAAACATCAATTTATCAATTGTAAGAGCATGTATAATGTATACAGTTATGATCTATTTTCAAGTATGAAAGCAGTAATCTTTCATTTTGAAGTAACTAGTTATAAAGAACCTTTAGAGGATATAGATCTGCCCTTAGTTAACTTTGAGTTCTCATCAACTGCTTTTTTTTTCAGCCGGATATTGGAAACAGGATTTAATTCCTCTCTGCAAACCAATCTTTCACTTCAAGATGTTAAATTGTCACGCAAATGAAAGCAACTGGGATACTGAACATATTTCACAGTGATATAGTGTCAGATTTAGAGGTACATCGCAGTCTTATATAATAATATAGAAAATGGAAATCATACAAAACGTGTGTAATCATAATAGGTAGCAAAAGAAGTATATATAGATATATTTCAAATAGAAATGAACCCTCCATCTGAATATCTAATCTATAATGGCCATCGTTGTTGTCGTTACTATGTTCAATAATATAAAGCTTACTCAAAGAACATAGGACTTACAAGCATCCCTTGCAGTGGATCCAGTAGTTGATCCTGTGGTAGTTGGACCATCGGCAATTGATGGGAGAGATTTAAGATGAAGTATTTGATTTTAACCCATTCGCCACATGTGGCAAGAATTTATTGTATTTACACATAGATGGCTCAACAAGTTTTTAGTCACCAAATAGCCAGTTATCAAGAACTACCTATTTCACTTGTTTACCCTTTTCCTTCACTTTAGGAAAGTTTTTTTTTGTATCATTTCATAGTCAAAAATATTCTAATGACAATTTAATAAGCATAACATCAATAACAATAATAATAGTATCGAAAGCAATGGTATTAGTTTTCCCGCCAATTCAATGAATGGGAAAATCAGGGTCGGTAACTAGGGTCTACTGATAGACTCCTTGCCGGCTGAGCACATGTGGAGCCATCTGTATGTAACAAAATTCACCAAAAACTACAGGGGACCGAACATAAATCCGTGGCGAATGGGTTAATTAAAAAACATTAGTAAATAAAGGGAGACATTCACAGCTCATACACATACCTGGTGATCCAGAAGTGGATGGTCCTGGACTTGTTGAGCCTGTAGTTGATGTTAATGTTGTTGTAGTAACTGGTTCTTCATTTAGACCGGGAACTACTATTACTCCGATATCAATTTTGCCGAATACAACCTCTACCTCTGCATAGACCTCTATATGTATTCTTTGTACAAACACATATATTGTGATAGTGATCCTGACAAAATTTCTTAACTGGGTACTGACCCTTCTCCTACCCGGTGACAGGTTTGCTATCCTATCGCGGATTGCTTTCAATTCCTGGACCTTAGCCGTCATATTACTGGACAGCTCGGCATACTGATCAGCTACACAGGGTTCCGTTGAATTAAGGTTTGCTGTGGTTTCATTGACCAACAATGCTAAATCTTGTGTGTTGTTAAAGAGCACCTGAAGGTCGACTAATACGTTGGTAAGTTCAGTATCTAGAGAAGTGTCCAAATTTGGGTTGGATGTTTGGAAAATATCAGTGATGTTATTCAGTACCTCCCCGGCTTCAGCCAGAGACAGATTGAGTTGTTTTTCCAAATCAAGGATACTATTGCGGCAGGATCTCCCCAACACTGTAGAGAGAAGAAAAGTATCAGATAAGTCTATTGATATCATAGTTATGTCCATATTTACATAATAACTCGTACAAGCCAACAATCTCTAAATATATAATGAACAAGCAAAATTAAA